CCAAGTAGCTGGAACTACAGGCACATGCCACCACACCTGGCTAATTTTTTGATTTGTTGTCTCGCCGAGTTGCCCAGGCTGGTCTCGAACCCGTGGGCTCAGGCAATTCTCTGACCTCGGCCTCCCGAAGTGCTGGGATTATAGGCGTGAGCCACTGTGCCCCACAGGAGTCACATTTCAAGGCAAGAGCCTGGGTTGTGTCAAAAGGTCAAGTGTAGCTAGAAAGGAGCTCTGTGTTTGGCAGCACATCAGGTCCAGGGCTGAGGACCCGGGCAAGGACAGAAGGAATGGCCAGCAAGGGGGAGGAGAACCAGGAGAGCTGGGGACAGGTGGCTCAGGAAAGGCCATGAAGGGGGCAGGAGCGACCAGGATGTCACATGCCACTAAGAGATGCAGGAAGAGGAGGACAGAGAAATGAGCTGGTGCTTAGCAGGTCACCCTGATACAAACTTTCCTAGTGGCTGCTGGCAAAAGCCTGACTGGGGGTAGGGTCCAACAGAAAATACAAGGAGAGAGATTGGGAACAGCGCACAAAGGCCACTCTCCCAAGAGGAGTATAAGGCGATGAAGGAAAGGGATGGCCACTGAAGGGATGTGTTGAGGGTCCAGGGATTGCTTTTCCCTTTTTAAAAAAAATTTTTGAGTCTGAGTCTTACTCTGTCACCCAGGCTGGAGTGCAGTGGCATGCTCGTGGCCACCACAGCCTCGACTTGTCAGGCTCAGGCCATCCTTCCGCCTCAGTCTTCCAAGTAGCTGGAACTACAGGCGCACACTACCATGCCTGGATTATTTTATTTATTGTAAGGACGAGGTCTTGCCAAGATGCCCAGGCTGATCTTGAACCCCTGTGCTCAGGCAATCCTCTCGCCTCGGCCACCCAGAGTGCTGCAATTTTAGGCTTGAGCCACCACGCCTGGCCAAAGTCCCCTATTGACAGCATCAGGCCAGGACCAGCTGGCAAAGAAGAAATGTTTGCAGAGGTCCAGCCACTGCATCATTGCAAAGAACAGCAGGTGGCTTTATAACTTGGCCAACTGGCACTGGAGGCCCGGGTTTACACCTAGACCAGACAGCACCCTGTGAGTTTTCTCCGATGATAATAACCAGGGTTGGACTTTTGCCAGGAGTGGAGACTGTATGCAACTGAGTGGTTACAACTCAGGGTCCTGGAATATAACTCCATAAGGACACAAGGGGGTCAGGGTGGGTGCAGAGTAGTAGCCCAGTCAAGGGGTCGTAGGCCTAGGGATGAAGACCCTTGCATTTCCACATGTAGCCTACAGACCCATTAGCATCATCTGGGAGCTTATGGGAAAGGCAGAATCTCGGGTCACTGAAACTGTTGTATTGGATTCTGCGTTTTCCAGATCTCGGCTTACTGGGAAGCACCAGCAGTGGGAAGCTAGAAGACCGGCGCGGGAGAGCCAGGAGGTGATCAGAGGTCGGCGGCTTGATGCTGAGTCCGTGGAAGGGTCCGACTGGAGCGTGCACGCGACTGCCGCGGAGCTGGGGCTGGGAGACAGCCTTGGGCATGAGCTTCCAAGCTGGGCATTTCGGGAAGGAGGAAGCCATAGTGGTCTGGGCTTAGGCCCTGGGACCGCTGCTCGAAATTTCCCCATCGCCCCAAGTTCCTGGGTTCAATTCCCATATCACCAGCTGGTAATTTACGGCTTAGTTAATCTCCTTGTTTCTTTCTTTCCTCCAAGACTTCCAAAAGTAAAGCCAGCCCCTTTTTTCTCTTTGGTTTCGCCCGGTCCGGCTTCCTCCCACACCCCCGATCATTCTCAGTGCGACGGGCCGCCCGGCCTCCTCCTCCCCACTGCACCCCCCCAGGGCCTGGGAGAGGAAGTGATTTGCATTCAGGGCAGAACAATCGCTGCCCGATCGTACAGAGCAGAGCGCAGGGATGGCGACCGAGGGGCGGGGCCGAGCGATTAGTGCTGCCTGACCCCTGCGTGCCCTGCGCGCTGCGGGCTCTTTGCGTCTGCGTAGTGCGTTTTCCTCCCTTTCTGCCTCCGCTGCCGCCATGGCGCCCGTGGTTAGTATGGCTCCGCGTGAGGCCTCGGCTCCGGGAGAGGCAC